GTGGTCCTTTCATGAAGAAATAAAATCCAAGATGGGTAATGGTTGACTTGAGGCAAATAAAAAATGTTTCCTGACCAGTTGCCTACAGCTGATGAGCTCCAGTAAGAGCGAAACCATTTCTCACTTCACTGGAACAATTTAGAAGTGTGAATTGGTCCTGTAGTACTGTGTCAGAAACAAACAGCTCTGGGGGGAAAAGTGCTGAATTAAGGGGATTTTATGACTCTGCTAAGTTTTAAATACTACAGTATTTTCCCCTAATGAGCTATAGTTGCTAAAAGTCAGATAACTGTTACTTTTTACTTCAAAAAAGCAAAAGATGTTGTAACTTTAATTGTAATCACTATATCTAAATGAGTGTTAATTTAATTTATACAAGCTCTTATTAAACCAATCTTGTAAACAAGTGTCTAGTTTTATATCTCCCCTGCCCTTAATCTACTTCTACATTATTCCATCCTCAGTAGCTTTGATGTCCATACTTCCTCCCCCAACTCCTGAAACTGGGACAGCAAACCAATTGGTCCACATCAGCATTGCCAATGGGAGGCCCACAAGAAAACTCAGATGTTTTCCCCTGGTGAATCATGGACATAATCAAACTCACTGTGGTCCCACTCCCCTCCCCATGCTTGTATAGTTATTTAATCCTTGGTTATAGCGTTGTTACATACTGTATATACACATGGATCTTCGTGAACACCTCCTTTTCCTTTTGCCTCCATTTAAGCATCAGGAAACGAAGTTTGAAAGCTAAGTGGTTATCAGATACCATGTTATATGATGACTTTTTCAAAAGATCATGGCATATTACTGAGCAACACTATAGAAAGTACTTGTCTTTTGAGGTTAAACTAAGCAGTCTGTAATTTACAGGAAGATAATTAGCAAAACAGTCTAAGCTGAGAAAATTACAAAACCAGGAACTTTTGTTTACCTAGATGACTATCCAGCAGAATGAGACAGATTTTGGTGGTTCTGTGCTGTCTTGCACATCATGGGTTTCCTTACAACCCAGTTCCCATCCAGGATGGGAACTAAATGCTGTTCACTTCCTCAGGTTATTGTGTAAACCCAGGGGGTGCCACTCTCATTGAGAACCACGGAAGAGCATTTGTAAGATTGAGTGTAAATGCAGTAGACAGTACATTGGTTAGATTTATTTACCTATTTATTATTACTGTTGTTTGCGACTTAAGAAATTGATTCATTTCAGAGTGAGTGATTCAGTTCCTCCTCCTTGAAAGTGCAGGAATATCACAAGGAAGGCCGTGACTCTGCTTGATGAGTATAACTGCAGTATGTTTTCATTTTCCCGAGAGATAATTTTTTACTTATGATGAGGGAAAATTTGGAGGAAGATGTGGCGTTAGAATCAGTTCTTTAAATATAATTAGGCTCTGGAGAGAAGAAAGGAAAGGACATTCTTGGATGGGAGCCGCCAGGGAAAGTTAGCGTGCAGTTGGTGGAATCGTGAGTAGACTAGTCAGGGACTAACAGGGGACAGTGAAGTACTAGGCTTTTAGGAATGTGTTGGGAGATAAGATGGAAAAAGTCGTACAACTGGTTTACTGGAGGAATCACAACTCTGAAATATGAACATGAAATGGTTTTGTGTGTTTTTTCCTCAAGGAGTCTCCAGTCATACTGTGTAGAATGCCCCCACCTCCCTTCTCTTCCCTCTGAAGTGCTATTCCTTAATAATATCTTGGTTTGATGTCATAACTTCTCTGCAACTTTTGGTTACTAAAGAAAACTCACTCCAGAAATCAGGACAGGTTTCAATAATTTTTAAAAATTACATTTTCTTCCTGAAGAAAGGTTTCCAGCAGCTTGAATTGAGGAGGAAGTATAATCTGGCTCTAAAATAGGTTCCCTTTCCTTTCTCTAGCTAGCTCTTTTGGAGTAGAGAGAAGACCAGTCAGTGGGGGCAGAGTTTTCGTTATCCAAACCTCTAAAGAGGGAAGAGATAGCCCTGACCTTACTCTAATTCATCTGGTTGCATTTGATGGTGGGCTCTATGGAGGTGATGTGTGTGGGTATTTTAGGGGCGATGATGTAGCTTCTGCCATTGAGGACCCAATTGAGGACCCAATTCATAGGGCCCTTCTGAACACCCCCCCCCCTTTTTTTTTTTTTGCAGAGCTAAGATGACAAACTTCCATCCCGTCTCTGGATTGAGTGGTACTTGTCCTAGTGTTGTCTCAAGTCACTTGTCCTTTAATCAACCTTGCTTCTCTACTTAGAGTTGCAGGAAGGAAAGCAGGAGGGACGAATGGAGTGAGATTGAGAAACCAACAATTGAAGTGTTTCTTACATGAAGTGGTCAGGCCTGGATTGGTTTGCATGTGGAAACAGTGACAGTAGAAAGGAGGGTCTAATTGTAGGAGACATGGAATTGATAAAAGAGTAAGAAGGCAAAGGAAATGTAGGAGTCATGACTAAGAAAAATGATACTATCGACAAAAAAGATTAATAGGGATACTCAATCATTGGAACTATTCATTGGATTTTAGATTTAGCCATTTGAGTATGTGGTTATGGTGGAACATTCAGTGGAATTGCCTATATTCGGGTGGAGATTTTAATATAGATACAGAGATAGAGTGAAAATGAAGGTATAGATAACTTGTTGTCTGTAACTTAAGTAAAAGTTTAAATTCAGCAGCAACACATTCACAAGTTAAAGTGAGTTACTTTGGGGAAAGTAATGTCCCTGTTTGAGAATGATTTTATTTTGTCCTAGATTTTGGAACACAGCATACTCGTGAGGTCTTAATTATCAACTTACTGTGCTTATTTGAATTATCTATTAGTAAATGAAGCTTTAATACTAGTGTAGGCTATGTCTTAGTTATAATATGTATGCAGCAAGATAATGGTAATTTCTATTTGACTGTTTGGAAATATGTTATAATTCAGAATATTAAGACGAATGTCAATATTAGTTGATATTGTCTATACTCAGAGGACAGTCTATACTGAAAAACAGGGTATTTGACAAACCATCTGGTCTTCTTTTGCTTTCTTAGAATTATTCTTCCTGTTTTCTGCATTCCTAGAATAATGCTCCTCAAATGTCACTTCTGTGTTTTAATTCAACAAATATTTGAGAACCTACTCTATGCTAAAGCTCTATAGATTAATCAAGTATGTCCAAGTCGATCATGATTTATTGTCCTTAACAAAATTCACTCCTGTATATCATTCTGATGAGCATTGTACCTAGTTATCTTCTCTTACCCTTTTTCACCATCCTCTGACCACCACCTCCATCATAGACCAAAATGAACATGAACCTTTCTGTTACTCAATAATTTAATTTTTCTTTTTTATAAGTTCACCTTCCATCTGGAATTATTTCTTTCCTAGTTGCTGTCAGAACTATGACTTGCCCACATTTTACCCAACTTTATATGACTCCAGTAATTCATCTACGATGTATATGCTTTGTTGATATTTGACAAAATCATCAAGATTGAAATTGAATTATTTTCCAGAAGTAGCTAGAGTAGTAACCCTCATAAATAACAAAAAAAAAAAATGGATTCTCACAATATTGAGTTAGTTTTGTAAATATTGCTTTTATGACCTAGGCAGTGCCTCCACTCGAGTTACACTGAATATTATTTCTTCTCTTTCTTTTCCTTTTTCTTATTAAAGCTGGGGAAAGTGAAACAGGGAAGGGCTTAGGATAGGAGAAACAGCAGGAGTGAGCGTAGGCGGGGCTGCTTTGGCTCACTGAGAAATAAATATAAACTTTTTCCTGCAAGTGGAAGAAGTGAGCCAAAGTACTCTGCCTCGGCTTATTTCTTACCCCCTCACTGGGAAGTCAGAGGAAAGGGGCCTTGGAGACAGGCAGGCTCCGGGGGTTAGCCTGGGATGAGCTGCCTCTGCCCATTACTCTCCTAGTTGCAAGTCTCATGGCGCCCCTAGAGTGTGGGAGATGTATACCTGTTGAGTAAGAGGAGGAAGAAGGAAAGGCGTGGGCATGCTCTCTGGAGGGAGAGCCGAGTCTGGTTTATTCTTGATAAACATGTTTGGAATTCACCCTGGTACTTCCTGGATCCCAGCCTGGATAAAAAAATGAATCTCTGCCAGGGATCCTTACCATAATTTTTTCAACTCAGCGCTAGATGTTTGGGCTATAGTAACTGTTTTGTTATTGTTTAGTTTTCCTTCTGAGTAAGTTTTTGTCATTGTTCACGTGTCTTGTTTTATTATCTTGGTTTCTAATTTCTCTTCTGATGTTGTCATTGCTATCTTATTTTCCTATAGATTATTGAGGTACTCATTTTTCTCTTGTGGAGCTGAAGGAATTTTAAACCATCTTTGTCACTAATTTCCCAGTTACTGGTCTTATTCCATACCCAGCATCTTATGGGGGTGACTGAGGAGTGCCAAACTGCACCTGAAGTGGTGGTGTATGACTGAATTGAAGGAGGAAAGAGTATGAAACTACTGTCCTGTTGGTTGTGGCACATGTGGATTGGCTGTCCTAGTCTTGCTTTTCTCTCTCTCAAGGAATGGCTTTTAAGAGTTTTTAGTAGTAAAATTTGTGGTCTTACTTATTCCACATCATGGAATATGTGCAAATACACTGAGTGGCCAGATTATTATGATCTTTGAACACATAATAATCTGGTCACTTAGTGTATATCCTATATAATAAAAGGCTAATATGCAAATTGTCTCCTCAACCAGGAGCTGGACCAGCAGACAGGCCGGCCAACCACCCATGTCCCCTCCCTCTGGCCAGACTGGCCAGACCCCACCCATGCATGAATTTATGCACCGGGCCTTTAATATATATATCCCCCCCCCCCCCCCCTCTCTCTCTCTCTCTGAGTGGCCAGATTATTATGCGTTCAGTGTTCAGAGATCATAATAATCTGGCCACTCTGTGTATATAGGGCGTCTTGGTTTTTAAAAGCTTTGGGTTTTTTTTATGTTTTGACTTTCTTAGATGTAAAACGAAGATCAGGAACAGATTTGAAGAAATGCAGAGCGAGTTGGTGCCAGTCAGCATGTCAGAGACAGAGCACACAGCCTCCATTTCCTCTGGTGAAAATGTTGGGAAGACACCTGAACAAAAGGAAGACTCCAGCAACTCGTTTTCTGGCGATGAAAGCAGCAGCATAGAAAATGAATCCCAACTATTGTCATTAAACTTTGGTAAAACTTTGTGTCAGCCTGATGAAAACAGTAATCAGATTGAAGCACAGGAGAACTGTATTCCAGATCATGGTGGAAGTGAAGATTCTAAAACAGACCTATGCCCAGGAAATTCTGAACAAATACCTAATTTTCCTGGTGGAGATTTTACAAAGCAAGTTTCGAAAACAAATGAAACTGAACAGACAGTAAGTCAAATATTGGCAGAATTAAGGTCCTCCACATTTACAGAAGCAGCCAGTCAAAAGACTTACTCAGGAAGTCCCTATGATACAGACTGCACCAAGAAACTTATTTCAAAGATAAAGAATGTTTCGACACCAGAGGATTTGTTAGAAGAAATAGAATCTGAGCTCTTATCTACGGATTTTTCAGAACACCGAGTACCAAATGGAATGAATAAGGGAGAACATGCATTAATTATGTCTGAAAAATGTGTGCAAGATAAGTATTTGCAGCAGGAGCACACCATAAAGAAGTAAGTTTTAAATTTTTTTCATGTTATTTTTTTTCCACAGGGATTAAAGATGGCATTCTTTAAAGAAAATTATCTTGTCCACTTTTAATTCCACAATAGAGCCACACACATTGTAGTTATCCACAAATATCTATTTACTAAATAATTAAGCAAACGCTGATCATTATTCAATTTGTCTATTTTTTAAAAATGTGGTATTTTTATTTGTATTATTTTAGAAATAATAGGTATGTTTCAGTGTTTTTATATGGGGTGGGCAAAATTAGGTTTATAGTTATAAATAACACAATAATTAATATAAAAATAGGCTGTTTCTCTTATTTACAACTATAAACCTACTTTTGCCTACCTCTATCCTGTATAATAAAAGCCTAATATGCTAAGTGTTCGGTCATCCAGTCAGCAGTTCAGCCAATCAAAGTGTAATATGCTAATGCCGCTCAGCCGCTCACTATGATATGGCACTGACCATCAGGGGCAGACGCTCTGACTGGTAGGTTAGCTTGCTGCTGGGGTCTGACTGATCTGGACTGAGTGAGACGAGTGGGACACACTCTGGAACTTTCCCATGGTCCCTCCCCTGCTGGCCAACTTCCCATGCCCCTCCAAGGCGGCGATGGTGCACCTTCTTGCAATCTGGGACCCCTTGGGAAATGTCAGAAAGCTGGTTTTGGCCCAAACCTACAGGCTAGACTCAAGGACTCTACTGATACACGAATTTGTGCACTGTGCCTCTAGTACTATATATCTGTCAGATATAAGCCTATATAAACAGATATGTATAAAGTAAATATTTTGAATATGATTTAAAATTTCTGTTTTACATGTCTTAATATGTAAGTCTAAAGGTGTAAGTATATTAAAGATCTAGAAATATTTATAAAGACAACTAAAATTTTTCAGGTTTGAAAGAATGTAAAGCATAATGTTCTTCTGTATGAGGGGAGTGATACTTACCTGATGAGATTGTTTTGTGATAGTAGGCATTATAAAAATGTCAGATATTGTCAATTTAAATCTAGATTAATCTTTTGTTACACAGTGTTTTTAACTCAATTAAATGCTTCATGACTCAGGTTAGTTCTAAAACTTTCAATTCCTTTGCCTTAAATTTTCATGAATATTACATTTTTTTCTCTTTTCCAAATATTTGCATGATTTACTTCCTCACTGTAGTCCTGGGTTCTTAGAAAGGCCTAGCCTGACCACCTTATCTAAAAATCACAGTTACTGTCTGTCCTAGAGCCTTCCTTCCTTTAGTTTTATTAATAGGACTTAATCACTACCGGGGATTTTATTATACATCTATTGATTATTTTAATATTCTCCCTTAGAATATAAGCTCCCTGTGGGCAGGGATGGTTTGCGAATTGACTTCTAACATGCAGAATAATATAGGTACATAGAAGGTGCCCCAATAAGCATTTGTTGAGAGAAACAAGAGATCTTCAAAGTAGATGTAAAGACCTGGGCTAAAGAATTACAGCTGGGTTCATATCTCAGTTCAACTGCTTTACTAGCCTAATGAACTGGAACACATTCTAGGCTTCAGGTTTTTAAAAAATTCATTAAAAAGATAATTATTATTTCATAAACTAATTTCATAAGCTTAAGTTAAATGAAATGCAATTAAAGCTAAACTTAGTAAGTAGTAATTGTGCAATAAATTTTAATTAATAGCTATTGCTATTAATAATCCTAAAATATTAGCTGTTAACCTTCTTAGCTATCTGACCTTATTGCAGGTAATTTTTAAGGTTTTTTTTAAAAATATATATATTTTATTGATTTTTTACAGTGAGGAAGGGAGAGACATAGAGAGCTAGAAATGTCGATGAGAGAGAAACATTGACCAGCTGCCTCTTGCACACCCCCTACTTGGGATGTGGCTGCACCCAACGTACATGCCCTTGGCCGGAATCGAACCTGGGACCTTTCAGTCCGTAGACTGACGCTCTACCATGGTTTCAGCAATTTTTAAGGTTTTATTTATACTTTTTAGGGGATTCAAAATTGAACGTCTGCTTAAGCTTTTGTTATTTTACATTGACTATTTTTCTATAACTATTAAAATATCATTAAAATATTTTAAAAATCTAAAGCAAGATTTCTCAACCACAGCCCCATTGATATCTGAGGGTAGGTCATTCTTTGTAAGATGTTTAGTATCCCAGGCCTCCACTCACAAGAAGCCAGTAGCAATTGCAATCCCTGTGGTGGCAACCAAAATGTCTCCAGACAAATCATGGAGGGGCAAACTTACTCCTCTTTGAGGATTGCTCATCTGAAGGGATGAATTTCATAATTGTGATGCCCAAAGACATAAACTTTAGAGTGTGTTGTTTTTTTCTGAGTATATTCACTTGATTTGGAATATCAAATTTCTAGAAAAATGTTAATAGCCTGATTGGCCAGAGAATTTTTTTCCCAAAGTGTAATGTGTCTTACAAAAGGATTTCTTAGGAATATTGATTTATTTGTCATAAGTGTCTAACCCTAATCTGCATACAGATTATAGTCCATCTCTTCTTTTTAAGTTATGTTTTACTTACACAGTCCTTTTCATATTTAGGTTAATTAAAGAAAATAAGAAGCATCAGGAGCTCATTTTAGATATATGTTCAGAAAAAGACAATTTAAGAGATGAACTAAAAAAAAGAACAGAAACAGAGAAGCAGCATATGAATATAATTAAACAGGTAAGAAGACAAATCTTGAAAGACTACATTTCAATTTATAAAATAAACTAGAGGTCTGGTGCATGAAATTAGTGCACAGGGAAGTGGGGGTCCCCTCAACCCAGTCTGCACCAGCTCCAGTCCAGGTCCCCTTAAGGGATGTCCGGCAGGTTTAGGCCCAATCCTGAGGGATATCCCTCTCACAATCTGGGTCCACTGGCTCCTAACTGCTCACCTGCCTGCCTGCCTGATTGCCCCTAACTCCCACTCCTGCTGGCCTGGTCACCCCCAACTACCCTCCTTGCTGGCCTGGTCATCCTTCACTGTCCCCTCTGCCGACCTGGTTGCCCCATGCAATCTGTTTGGTTGTCCATTTGGTTATGATGGTCTCTTAGGCTTTTATCTCTCTATATATATAGATAAGTGCATTTCTGGAAATTTGTTTATAAATAAAAGTTTTGTCTTTTAAGTTAGAGGGTTGCTTGGTGTGTAAAGCATTCTCTTTTATAAAGTGGGAATGAATATTTTTATATGATATCTGTGATTATATTCTACATATTTGTGATTGTTTTCTATATATGGTAGAAATCTGAGAAGGTGACTTGATTTGGCAGATAGACTTTTTATCAATTAAAGGAAAAACAATATATAAAAATTTATATATGGCATTAAAATATTTTTAAGCTTATGGTTTAATATTAACTATACTGTGAACTTTGGCTCTCCTACTTCAGATTTTATCTGGCTTCTCCAACCTTACCTTTCCTCACCTCTCTTTTCCTTCCTCCCCTTCCCTTCCCACCTCTCTCCTTCCCTCACCCCTCTCCCTTCCCTCCTTCCTTTCCCCTCACTTCTCTCTCTCCTCCCCTCCCCTCTCCTTTCCTACCTTCCTTCCTTCCTTTCTTTCTTCATGGATCAGTAAAGTGAATATTTAGACTGGTAGCAAAATTGAGCTGCTCTTTATTTTTTTGAGCTGCTTTTTCTTCTGTGGACAGAATTAGAAGCATTCTAGCCTTAAGAATCTTTTGTGTTATCTTTCACAGAAAGTTATATAATGAAAATAACAGTAGATAATAGATAATCCTATATAATAAAAGACTAATATGCAAATTGACCGGGAGTTTGATCAGGAGTTTGACAGGGGGTAGGGCCGACTAGCCCATTGCCCACGGCCCCTCCTCAGACCAACCTCACCCCTAATTGCACCCCACCTCGATTGAGGGTGAGGCTGGTCTGCCAGCTGCTCACGACCCCTCCCCCTAGCTAGCCTGTCTGATATTTAGTGTAGCACTTTTACTTTCTTATAGTTGCTGTTTGCATGACTTATGCAAATAGCAACTTTTTTCATCCTTTTAGTTTGAATTTATATCTTTGAATCTGAAGCATCTCTTATAGACAACATACTTGTGATCTTGTTTCTTTTTTTTTGTTTTTTAATATATATTTTTATTGATTTTTTTTACAGAGAGGAAGAGAGAGGGATAGAGAGTTAGAAACATCAATGAGAGAGAATCATTGATCAGCTGCCTCTTGCACACCCCCTACTGGGGATGTGCCCACAACTAAGGTACATGCCCTTGTCCGGAATCAAACCCAGGACCTTTCAGTCCGCAGACCGACGCTCTATCCACTGAGCCAAACCGGTTTCGGCGTGATCTTGTTTATTTATTCCAATCTGACAGTCTCTGCCTTTTGGTATTATTATTTAATTTTTTGTCACTTATTATTATTATTATTTTAATATTATTATTAAAAGTTGGATTTATATCTTCCAGTTATAATTTTTTATCTCATGTCTTTTTGTTCACCTGTTTATCTATTACTACTTTCTTTTGCATGTAATATTTAAATTTCCTTTATGATATTTTCACTATATTTTTTTAGTTATTTCCATAGTAATTACTCTAGAGCAAGCATGTTAAACTTAAAGGCTAACACAGGCCAAATAAACAAAGTTTAAGTTTATGTGGGTTGCAAAAAAACAAAGCTTCAATTTTCATAGAAACAGGTTTGTTTTGATAGAGACATGCAAAGGGTTGCAATAAATGAGAAACTGTTAACATAAAATAATAGAACATTTTAATGAAAATTAATATATATTTTTAACATTAACTTACAGTCACTGAATTAATTGCACAAATTATAAGTGTAACACAAATAAACCTATTTTTGTTATTCTTAGAAAACGTAATACTTCCCATTGCACACATAAAACAAGTCAGTCCAAGACTAATGATGTGACAATTGGCTGCTAAAATATTCGCTGCTAGTATTAGTAGAGAGAAATGGTGCACCTGCATGTGAGGCACATAAAGGAAATGAATGCATCACGATTATAGTAATCAGTCATTAGTGAACATAGTTGTTTGTTATTAATAATTAGAGGCCAGATGCATGAAATTTGTGCAAGGGGCTTTGTCCAGAAGATCGTCTGGCAGGACATCTGGCTGTCTGGTCTAATTAGCATATTATGCTTTTATTATTATAGATTATGTATAATAGGATATTATAAAAATTAAGTCACAAAAATGGTTCTATTGGCTGGGCTGCAAAATATTCGTTGTAGGCTGCCAGTTTGACGTGCTTGCTCTAGAGTTTATCATCTATCTTATCAGAATCTGTTCCAGATTTAGACTAACTTAATTCTAATGAGAATACAGAAACATTGCTAACATTTACTCTTTAAAATATATTTGTTGCTTTCATTTATTTATATTGTTTATATTTATTTGAGGTAGTGATGGTCTGTTTTGATACAGCTATAAACATAATATGGAATTAATTTTCTTTACAGTTAGAATCAAAAATAGAGGAACTTAATAAAGAAGTGAAAGCTTCCAAAGATAAACTAATAGCTCAAGATAATGCAACTAAAAATGCAGTTCAGCAGTTACACAAAGAGATGGCCCATCGGATGGAACAGGTATTTTCCAAGTCATTATCAGTATTAACTTTCTGGTGATTCTCTCTTGTTTTTAAAAGTAAACTAATCCGGTTAACTGATTTTAGACATTAATGTTATTTTAGGAATGGATAATTTTATCCCTATAAAAATTAACTTTTTAAAAATGCCGAAGCATTATAAAAATAATGTGCTACTTCAACAAATAATTTTAATAAATTAGGAAGAGTGTGGAATGAAAAATGAAAATTCATCTTCATTTGTACTTCTCTCTTCCTGCTCCAATCCCTTTATATCCCAGTCCTTGGTCCACAGCTAATAATTGATACTTTTTATATATCTTACTATGTATGCATGTAGAAGTTATACATATTCATACACTTTTTTCCCTACTTGATGGAGATCTTACTGTATATCTTCTTTTTATATAACTGTTTTCTCCCCTGTTTAATATATCTAATAATTTTAGTTGCCTGTTGAATCCTATTGATTATCCTGTTTGTTCATGCTTTATCTTCATTGAAGTGGGTAGTAAACATCTCAAACTGGTCAAATCCAAAGACTTTTACTACCTCTTCTTTTTCTGTGCCCATAAATGGACTGACATAATACTCCCAACAGCTCTGTGAAGTGGTGCTGCCATTATTTAGGGTGGGTCCGGAAATGTGTCTGTATAATACTTTGAGTATTTATTAGATGTGATTATCTGCTGTACCAGAACTTCAGGAAACATATTTTTAGACACTTTTCATAAGAGCACAGGAGCTTTTCTTACAATATCCTGACACTATGGCACCATCAACTTAGTTATGGTATCAGTGGGTGCTTACCACTCTCTGCCATTGAAAATCTCTAAAATTTAGGTAAATATATGTTTTGTCATATTTGCAAACTATGAATTACTTAAGTGAAGGGCTATCTGTAGTTTTTGTATAAAATTTTAGAATTTGGAGTAAAAGCTTACAATAATAGGGAATTTGAAATGAGTATATAGATGTAACAATTCATTTGGGTATTTATTAAATGTGAAATACTTTAGAAAGCTTTCATATATAGGAAATCAGATGATCATTAATTAGTATATTGTTACTTTTATTTTTTTGGCGAGGGAGCTAAGTTTATAGCTTTTAGGAAATTGTTAGCCATGCAGTAAGATCCTGGCAGAGGTCAGTGATTTGAGGAGAGTTTAATAAAGGGGCTTTTACAAAGGTATGGGCAGGGCTCAGGTTGCCCAACGAGGGAAAATGAAGGGTTCTGGAGCTGCTGCTGGAGCCATTATTGCTCTTTGGGCTAAAGCAGGGAGGGGCCACCTTTTTTCTGCCAAGAGTGGTTTGGATATTTATAACATCATTCATAGGCCATCCAAAATTATCAACTGAAAAATTAGCCTGCTAAATTTGATCAAACATTTAATTAACTCGCCCCTCATGCCTCGGCAGGGCCAGACCAAATGATTTTGCAGGCCTTATACGGCTTGAGAGCCGGACATTCCCATCCCTGGGCTAAAGGAATAGGGGAGGGCACAGATCATGCAACTCAGAGAGACAGTGGTGCTATAGAGAGAGCACCTGACCAGAGCAGTCTCCTTTGACCAACCTGAGGTGACTCTGGAGGAGCCAGATCTCCCTCTCTGCCTACCCTCCAGGTCTTCTGTCTAGTGACTCCTGTTGGCTGAACCAACTAGGATTTGAGGCAAGGAGACCTGTTGCTGTAGTGTCAGATCATCTTGCTGAAGCACAGGGTGGATGGGAAAGAGTGGGAAAGGGGACCCAAAGGAGTAAACAGGAAACAGCAGCCACATCAGCCAAAGTATAAGGAATAGGAAAGGGTAAAATAAATATTAGTGACATTAGTTTGTTTATTGTTTATCTGTAGTTTTGAAATTTTCCTTTCCTTTTTAAAATTTCACAGATCCTGGGAATGTTGTTCCAAAACAAAAAAATACATTGGTAATATTATAGAGAAATAATATTTAAAAATTTAGTTTTATTTTAAAAATTTAATGCTAGATACTTTTTTCCCCCCCAAAGGCCAATAAGAAATGTGAAGAGGCTCGCCAGGAAAAAGAAGCAATGATAATGAAGTATGTAAGAGGTGAGAAAGAATCTTTAGACCTCCGAAAGGAAAAAGAGGTACTTGAGAGAAAACTTAGAGATGCAAATAAAGAAACTGAGAAAAACACTAACAAAATTAAGCTGCTTTCTCAAGAGAAAGGACGTTTGCAACAGCTGTATGAGACAAAGGTATAACTTGCGCTATTGTACCTTATTTGAAATGTATTCTGTTTGCTTTTTCTTAGGTAATCATAACTTACCACAGTTAAACCACTATTAAACATCAAGTTGTTTAGTTTACCTTACAAGTATGTGAATGCTTTAGTAATTCCAGTTGTTCCCTGTGTGCAGAAAATGTTACTGGGAAAAGACGAGAAATTGACAGAGGTTTTTTATTAGATAAAATTTTTTTGAAAGATCTTTTAAACTTTTTCATTAAAACTATATGTTGAAGAAATTAGTTTGTGCCTCAAAGGAAGATTTTGGCAAGATATATATACATAGTAGTGTCAAAGTGTTGATGGTTTAATAAGTGTCATTTGACCAGAATCCTATTGTAACACTTATTCATTATAGAATAGAATTTGCATTTTGGGGGTAAAAAACATGTTTTTAGTCCTAGCCAGAACATGTTTTTTGCTCGTTGGTTAGAGCATTGGCTCATAGACTGAGGGTCAAGGGTTAGACTCTTTCAAGGGCACATACCTCAGTCGCAGGATCCTGAGCCCCAGTTGGGGGGCAATCAATCAATATTTCTCTCAGTCTCCACCCATCCCTTCCACTCTCTCTCAAAATCAATGGAAAAATGTCTGTGGGTGAGGATTAACAAAATAAACATTGTTCTTAGATGCTGTCTAGGAGATTTAATTACTTAGCTATTCAGAGCCGTTGTGTTAACTAGCAGCCTCATTGCATGATCTCATTTCCAGTGGATTATCACTTCTTGATCTTCTTGATGATGAATGTTATTATTTTTTATAATATATTTTTATTGATCTCAGAGAAGAAGGGAGAGGGAAAGAGAGATAGGAACATCAGTGATGAGAGAGATTCATTGATCGCTGCTTTCTGCATGCCCACACTGGAGATCGAGCCCGCAGCCTAGGCATGTGCCCTGACCAGGAATCAAACTCTGATTTTCTGGTTCATAGGTTATGCTCAACCACTGAGCCATGCTGGCTAGACTAATGTTATTTATTTATTTTAAAAAATATTTTTATTGACTTTTTTACAGAGCAGAAGGGAGAGGGATAGAGAGTTAGAAACATTGATGAGAGAGAAACATCTATCAGCTGCCTCCTGCACATATGCCTGTAACCAAGGTACATGCCCTTGACTAGAATTGAACCTGGGACCCTTGAGTTTGCAGGCTGACGCTCTACCCACTGAGCCAAACTGGTTAGGGCTAATGTTATTTTTTTATTAGTTAACTTTTAGTTCAGGAAAGTTGTCATTGTCTCAGAAATCCTGGCAAAACCAATTTAATTCTTATTTTACCTTAAAGCCAAGTGGTTGAGAAGAATAAAGGTATGATTGTACTTGCAACATATCTAGTTGGTTAAATTATATTAATTATGTCTGTAACAGGATTTAGGATTTTACTGCTCTCTTATGATTTGCACTTTAAATCAGTTTTATGGTTTATAGGCCATAATAATGTGCCATCTTCTGAATTATTGTGTTATTGTATTGATTATTTTGAGGTGGGATAAACATACACAAATAATTGGTTGATTGTAAAATGAAAAAATATGACCTAGTGATATTATTTTAGGAAGGTGAAGCTACTAGACTCATCAGAGAAATAGAAAAACTAAAGGAAGATATCAACTCTCACATCATTAAAGTAAAATGGGCACAAAACAAATTAAAAGTGGAAATGGATTCGCACAAGGTGAGTACTGGGATGCAGTGGAAAAATCATTAGAATCAGTTTTAAGAGCAAATGCAGTAATAGTTAATGAGGCATAAAGTTTAATTTAGTGACTCCTGGAGGATAGCTTGGGCCTGCATATTTGGTGATTTCGAGCCTTAGATTTAGCCTTGAGTTCTCAGTCACCATATTGAGCCCCTTAGCAAATCTTGCTGACTGTTCTCAAGTCTGACCCACCATTCCCAGTGAAAGTTCCCCTGGCTACCCTCTCGGAATTTTCAACACCTGCCCCCAGACTTTCTCATGTCTTTATTTTTACTCCTTAGTACTTGTCACCATCTAATACAACATTTTCACTTGTATAGTATTTATTTATTATGTACCTTCATCTAGAATATCAGCTTGTGAGAGTAGAGATTTTGTCTTTTTTTTTTTTTTTTTTTTTTTTTTTAAACACCACAGTTTCCCCAGAGCATAGTACAGTGCCTGGTACATGGTAGGTGCTCAATGAATACTGAACGAATGAATCAGTGAGTGAAACATAGTTAATACCTTAACATACATTTAATGTGATTCTCACTTTTATTTATTTATTTAGTAAATACTTATTTGGCATATACAAATCTCTCAATTGCTATTTTTTGAGTGAATGAAGTGAGTACCTCCTGTGTGTCAAACTGTTTTAGTTACTGATCATATAGAAATTGGGGGGAGGGAAACCAGATCAAATTTCTCTCTGTGTCCTCTTGTTGAAATAATATTCTAACATATATTAGAAAAAGTCTCCAAATGTTTATATTTTAAAAGTGATACTGAATTTTAATACAATTCAAATTATTATTGACATCAACTAAAAGTATATAAGTAAATACTTAATTGTATGATATACAAAAACAAATGATATGTAAGAAGCAGTATGTGAAGCATAGATGAAGGGGGAAATATTACAAGTGGAGGAACAATAAGAAAAAAGGGAAAAACTATTGGTATTTGGGAAGATCACCCTAAATAGAACAGAAGGTTTATGTATTATGTTTCCTTTATTAATTCAACAAATATTACTTGCACCATTAATAAGGGGCAAATTCTGAGCTAGATGCTGCCCAGACGCTGCTTCCCAATGGGGAAAACACAGAAGCTAAGGTCACTATATCAGTTGTTACAATCTAGGGATGCCCTGGATTCTATCGATGGGAAGGCAGAATAGCAGCATTTGCCCCTTTCTGAAGGGAAGCTACTAAGAGATGTTTTAATTTGAAATCAACATGATAGCCAAACCCCTGGGACTGGATGGGTACTCTGCAGAAGTATGGAGAAAGAGCTGAGGGCAGGGATATGTCTTGGGAAATTGCCGCAGGAAATAGAAAGGCAGTTGAGGAACTAGAGAAGGCAACAATGAAGAGGGACAAAACAGCATACTTCTTGTAATGGAAACAGGAAGGTTGTTCAAAGAGTAGGGAGTGGTCAGAACTGGAGCAAAGTCTAGAAGAAGAAACGAGAAGAAGGAAGTAATTGAATTTAATTTAACAAGAGAGTAATTCTGCAAACCTTCAGAATTGCTGTTTCAGGAAAGTGGTTAGGAATAGAAACCAACCTGCAGCATGAATCTATAAAAACAAACAAACAGTTTTTAATAGATACTACCACATAAACCAAAGAATTGTCTTCTGTGTGTGTGTGTGTGTGTGTGTGTGTGTGTGTGTGTGTGTGAAAAGAACTGTTTAATATTTGCTCTTGTTGTCTTACCAGGTTAATTAGTAAATTCTAGTGATTTGCTGAGAACTTTATGAAATTTAACTTTATTTAAATGGCTTTTAATTATTTGGCCCCTCAGTGGCAGTGCTGAGACAAAAACTTTCTTTGCCCTGGTCACTGTTCCTCCCATTCATCACATGATTGTGCCCATGTTTGTCACTGTCCTTTATCAATGCAGGAAACCAAAGATAAACTCAAAGAGACAACAACAAAGTTAACCCAAGCAAAGGAAGAAGCAGATCAGATACGAAAAAATTGTCAGGATATGATAAAAACATACCAGGTATGCTAACTTTTCTAATAGATTAGTAACGAATAATGTCAATATTAATATTATTTCATTAAAGTTTGTATTTGTAATATTTGAAGTGTGGAACGTATTGGTAGGTCAGTTAAATAAAATACAGGTTATTTCTGATGTCAAAATACTTGTAGCTTATATAGAGATCTCATTAACTAAATAAAAACACTAGAACATGTCAGAAGAATAAAGAGTACATGTTTGTAAATGTATAAGTTAAAAAAAACCCCACTGTATTATGTTACATATGTTAGGTATGCAATTCTTGTTCTTGCAAAAATCAACATATTTAAAATCTTTCAATGAAGTCCATCATTTGTAGATGATTATACTAAATATTTCTTAACACACCGAATTGCAAAAGCCTTCTTCACTTTTTAAAGTATAAAACTTTAACAAGTTATACCTTTAAAATTTATTTTCCACTAGGAATCAGAAGAAATTAAATCCAATGAGCTTGATGCCAAGCTCAGAGTCACAAAAGGAGAGCTTGAAAAACAAATGCAGGAAAAATCTGACCAGCTAGAGGTGAGTGGTTCTTTGTATACCCTAGATTGTGTAATAAATACAGGAGAGGAATAAGGAGTCCTTACTGACATCTACTTTGAAAGCCTTTGGGAGGAGCAGGATCAGTTTAGTACATAATGACCTGTGGTTTCTTTTAAACTTGCTAAAAGATGCATCACGCCAAGATCAAGGAGCTGGAGGACCTGAAGAGGACTTTTAAGGAGGGCATGGATGAGCTACGGACCCTGAGGACAAAGGTAATCACATCTTTGGGCGTGACTCAGGCGAAGGGTAAACATTTTTAATTTTGGACTCATTCTGAGTTTTAAACTGTTGGGGAAAGGGTATTTAGGACTTTTCCAAAATGAAAGAACTCATAAGAGTAGCATATCAATCCCCTAGCAATAAAATGGACTCTCTTACTGAGATGAAAATGTCTTCTATTTCAACCCCTTCGAAGAGTTCCCAACATTCCTGCTTTTTAACACATTTGCTGAATCTATAACTTATTCTTGGGCAGTCTTATCAGTAAATTAATTGGATTTTAGAACTGTTAGTATGAGAAAAGAATAGTTTCTTAATATTTCTCCCGGGTATATTTAATAGGCTTGTATACAGTTTTAATTTTTAACAACTGTTAAGTTCTTTGCAGTGCTTATTGTCTTTATAGTAAGACTAGTCTCCCTTTTAATGTAATTGTGAAAGAGTATCATTGTATATCATTCATTTATTTAGAAATAGGCTTTTAAATAACCACTTTGAGTTTGCAAGCACAGTAATTTTCAAAGTGTTTTCCCTGTGCACTTCTGTGTGTTCTCCACCCAGTTTCTTGCAGTAGGTAGGTAAAGTATGTCATCTTTTCAGGTGAAGAAATGGAGATTCAGCAAAAATAAAGTGACATACTGAAATTCCCAGGGCTAACTCAGAGGAAATCTGAGATGAAACCCAGGACTGTTAACTTCCCATTATGTTTTCTTCACGTTAATTAACACAGCTTCAGAATTCAGCTTAGGTTGTTCATATCTAACCACTACCTGAAATAGCTAATAAGGAACAAGAAAATATTGTTTATAGTTAAACTTGGTTATGATTTGTGATAGGTGAAATGTCTAGAAGATGAACGATTAAGAACAGAAGATGAATTATCGAAATATAAGGAAATTATTAATCGCCAAAAAGCTGAAATTCAGAACTTCTTGGACAAAATGAAAATTGCAGATCAGATACAGGAGCAACATCAAAGGTATAAAATGTGCAATTTCTGTTTGTGCTAATCAGGAGGCTTTTAGATTCTATCCCAGGTTTTTATTTTTAAATGCAATTATTGCATCAAACAAGAATAATTTAAAAATTTTACTGGCTAAAAATTTTTAAATTTTGGTCTTTCTTTGAATTTTTTTTTTTTTTTTTGATTATCTTTGAAGTTCCTATCATGGCTTCTAAAAAATCAAAGTTTATATTTCCTGAACATTGTCAGTAGTAGTTTATAAGACAGAATGGATTTGCGTTTCTTTATTCATTACTTAGCTTTCAAATTCTGTTACTTACACACAATAGTTAACTTTTCCTCCTACAAGGTAGATATACATCTATATCTTTGTATGCACGTAGCTTGAGGTCAGGATCTAAAGTTATTCCTTGGGTTCTTATAAACCCTGTCGCTAAACTACTCATAAAATTACCTGGCAGAGCATGGATTCAGGTTAAATCCAGATACTTCTCATACCCAGGCTGCTGAGTGTTGCTAAAGAAATCCTCACCGTTCTCCAGAGTGACACTGCTATAAACTCATGGTTAGCAGCCTCACCTGGGAGTATTAATGCACCTCAAACCCTATCATGTCCTTAGAGCCTTCTCCCCCATCTTCTCCGCATCTCTTCTAAACTTTACGGCTTTCTTCACGTGCTCATCTTCCTTCTCCCCTTACTGTTTACTCTGACTGCACAGAAGAAATGGGAGCTATCAGTTGACAAGTTCAAAACCTCTTGCTATTCGTCCTCTGAACTTGCCTGCATCTACAACCATTCTTCCTTCTTTTCCTTCTGTTAGGGAAGAAATGTTCCCTTCCTCTCTGAATGGAATTGTTCTCCACTTCATCTGTGGGTCCCATATGCTCCTGCCTTCTCAGGGTCTTTGTTGATTATTCTTTCTTTATCCTTTTCTCTTACCGCTATCTTTCTACTGACTGTTTTCTTTCTACATGTAAATATTATTATATCTTACAAACATCAAGCTCCAGTGACCTTCTCCTCCCTTTCTCCTTTCCTTCACAGCCACACATCTTTATAGGGTCATCTCTGCCTGGCCTTCATTTACTTCTTTGTTCTTCTAACCCTCTCTACTCGTCCAAGCTTCTATCCCAACATTCCATTAAAAACTGCTATGCCTCCTTAAATCTAGCAGACACTTCCTCAGGCTAAGTGTGGCTTGAGTTTTCAGTATTGATACAACTAAACTCCTTCCTCCTTCCCTCCTTCCTTCCCTCCCTCCTTTCCTCATTCCCCCCTTCCCTCCCTCCTTCTCTTTCTCTCCCTCCCTCCCTCCCTCGTTTCCTAGCTCTTAATTCCCAGTATGTTTCACATGTAAAAGTACCTTTAGAAAGCATTTTCTTCTGTGAAAATTCCCAAACCATTAATTTAATGTTTTTCAATGGTTTATTTATTTTTTTCTTAAATATAAACTTTGTTTTTTAGAGGTAAACAAGAAATTGAGAATTTGAAGGAAGAAGTGGAAAGTCTTAATTCTTTGATTAATGACCTACAAAAAGACATCGAAGGCAGTAGGAAAAGAGAATCTGAGCTACTGCTGTTTACAGAAAAACTTACTAGTAAGAACGCACAACTTCAGTCTGAATGCAATTCCTTACAGTCCCAGTGTGACAAGCTTTCCTGTAGTGAAAGTCAGTTACAAAGCCAGTGTGAGCAAATGAAACAGGCAAACACCAGCTTGGTAAGTATAATTGTAGGTCCACCATTTAAAGCAACATAGCGAGACGCACTAATCGATTTCCCACTAGCATAAACCTACTGTAGTTGATCTAAGCTCTTTTTTGTTGGCACTGACTTTCTTACAAATTTTTCAAATGCTGTGAGGAATGTTGGTTTTCCTTTCAACTTAGGTAGCTTATCATAAAAAATTTCCTTAAAATGGTTATGATTTATTTCACTTTTGAAAATAAGAAAATCAGGGGTTTTGACCTTCTAACTAGAATTACTGTGTCTTTTTATTTATTTATTTTAATCTTCACCCAAGGATATTTTCCCATTGGTTTTTAGAATGGAATTGAGAGAGAGGAACAGAGAGAGAGACATCGATGTGGGAGAGATATATTGATTGGTCGCCTACCACACGCACCCAGACCAGGGCCAGGAGCCTGCAACCAAGATACGTGCCCTTGACCAAAACCAAACCTGGGACCCTTCAGTCCACAGGTCACTCTGTCTACTGAGCCAAACCGGTGTGGGCTGGAATTACTATATCTTTTTAAAAGTACTTTACTTTTTCACATTTTTGTACTTTAAAAATGGTTTAGTATTTCCGAGTTATGAGAGTGCCTTCAAGTTACTTATAAAAATAATTTGAGATTTTAGTTAAAAAATCCAGAGACCTGTACTACATGTTTTTTTTTTTGCATGTGTAAACTGGTAGATGTAGTAATGTACTCCCCGGATTGCTATGTGAAGAATTTGAGGAGCTCAGTAAACAAAACCTGGTAAGGAGTGATGATAGAAGAATCTACTACCAAAGACTGTATTTTTGATGTTTTAAACTGTGAGATAATGGAAACATACAAGCCACCTATTAAAATTGGTGTTTTTTTTTTTTTTTAATCTTAATTCAATATTTAGGAAAGTAGATTGTTGAAAGAGGAAGAATTGCGAAAAGAGGAAGTCCAGACTCTGCAAGCTGAACTCACTTGTAAACAAACAGAAGTTAAAGCGTTGAGTACCCAAGTTGAAGAATTAAAAGATGATTTAGTAACTCAAAGACGTAAGCATGCCTCTAGTGTCAAGGATCTTACCAAACAGCTTCAGCAAGGTAGGACCTTCTTCCACACTTAGACCTGAATGTTTTTGTTTCTTCTCATCTTTAGGATTTATAGAAAAAAATACTTTTCACGTCAGGTTCTATCACATTGATTAGAGCCTTACGTTCTTTTTAATGTACTATTGTTCATAAACCAAATTGCTAAACTTCTTGCAGTTACATGAATAGTTTGTAGCATCTTCTATGCTAAAGGACATTTGTTCATGGAACTTAAGGCAGTAATGTCAAAATATTTTTGATCACATACTCCTAGTAAAAATGACTTCAGCACTTATTCTCTAATTTATATATATTTATAAATTTTAAACATGTGTTATTCTATTTGATGTATATTAGAATGTTACCAATGCATATTAGACAATAATAAAAATAGAAATTTTAAAGGGTCAGATTAAATATAAGTATTACTAGTAGTTCTAAAATTTTCTCCCTACACTTGTGTATGAATTGTTTTGTGCAGCATCTTTCGAGCTTGCATCCTATATAGTAGACCTCTAACTTAGAGATCGGTGAGACGTAACCTTTCATTGTACAGGAAATTGAGACCAGAAAGCTTATTGGTTAACCAAACACAGTGATTGATAGCCAGAGCTGGAATTCAGATTTCTTTCATTTAAAATTCATACAACTTTTGGGAGTGTGTGCCCTGTGGTTGGTACAAAGATGAATAAGATATGCATTTTGACTTCCTATTCTTTATATTTCCCTCTGCTTTATTTGTGTCAAAACAGGATTAAACATAGTAACAAAAGATTTAGGCTGAAACCGGTTTGGCTCAATGGATAGAGTGTTGGCTTGGGGACCGAAAGGTCCTGGGTTTATTCCGGTCGAGGGCATGTACCTTGGTTGCAGGCATATCTCCAGTAGGGGGTGTGCAAGAGGCAGCTAATCGATGACCCTCTCTCTCGATGTTTCTAACTCTCTATCTCTCTCCTTCTTCTCTGTACAAAATCAATAAAATATATTTAAAAACACAAAAGATTTAGCATTTACATAATATAAATGTATTCAGCTATTTGCCATGAGAAGTCCATTTGTTTTTATAGATATCATTGAAGTGAAATTTGGGGGAAATTTCTGGTATCCTACATCTTTCAGGACTCCAGAAGTTATGCTCAGTGTTTGTAAGTGATGCCAGCCAGTATCAGTTGTTATCATAATGTTTCTACGTATGTTGTATTTGACCTGTGCATTTCTAGATGTCATTTTGTATAAATGACACCTTTGGCCCTCCTGGCCTAAGTGATTTTAGTAATAAAAATCAGAGGCAGTAGGAGCAAATAAATGACCATGATAATTGTCACAATAACCCATTTCTTTCTTCTTTAGCACGAAGAAAATTGGATCAGGTGGAGAATGGAGGCTATGACAAAGAAGTCAGCAGCATGGGAAGTCGTTCTAGTTCATCAGGTAAAAAGCAAATGGTTTTAGTGTTTTGTGATTGATTATAAAAAGGAGTAGCATATTTTGTTTTAAAAGGTATTGAAACATTTTTCTTTCATTTTGAATTTTAAAAAGTGACAGTTGTACATGTTATAAGAAATATTTCCATTATCCAGGGTTTCAAGTTTGCCATGTGGTTCTTTCCCCCCACCCCACCTCCCACTCCCAGTTCTGGAATGTAAAGCTCTTATTAGTTAAAAATATAGATGACATACAATATCATATTAGTTTCAGGTGTATGTCACATGGTTCTTTATCATCTATTTCTCTACCTCCTTTTTTCTTACCTGCTTTGTCTCTATTCTATGTAACAACTTCCTCTTCCATTCATAAATTCAATTTGTATCCATCCCTACAGAGAGATTTGCTGTATTGTGGTCTCTCTTTATACTTTTATATTACTTTTAATACCTGAGAACTACTGAAGTGACCATTGTTATATATCAGATATTTAAATGTATTTACACACATGTATTTTAAAAATATTATAATTTCTCATGGTAAATATGCTTATAGTACAACAGAAATGAATAGAGTCTATGAAAGTATGATTTGTAACATTGTGAAAATGGTAATTAGCAAAATATCAGTGTGTTTATCAATTTTGGAATGCCAGGAACCATGCTCAATGCTTTAAGTATATCATTTACTCTGCAAAAGTCATGTTACAGTTCCCACTTTAAAGTGTGACTCACCCAAAATCCTCAGTGGCTGAGTGCTCAGATTCTAAAGACTGCACTGCTCCAGGAGTTGCATATTAGGGGAGAAAATGCCATCTATAGGTACGATAATGGGAATCGGTGTAGCAGAAGAAATGTGGATTTGAAATTACACATAGGTATTTAGGTCCCAGCTCTGCCATTTATTAACGTATGATGTTGGGTAAGATACATAACCTGTCTAAAATCTATAGAATGGGGGGAGGGGGGGCGTGCTTAACTTTGTAGGTAAAAAGATCAAAAATTATTTACAGCTGATATTGATAAAAATAATAACTAGCATTCACTTAGAGCTCACTACGTATATGCATTGTTGCAAGCACTTCACATGTATTAACTCACTTAAATGAGGATAATAATCCTGTGAAGTGAATAATGTTGTTCTCATTTTAAGATGAAGTGACCAAGGCACAGAAAGTTTCATTAACTCATCCCAAGTCTCACAGCTAGAATGTGGGATTTGAATCTAGGGAGGCCAGGCTCCTGAGCTGAGCTGACTGAGCTTAGCCCACATGGCTGTATTCCACTCTCCCTGTCTGTCTCTTTTTCTTGGTTTGATTTTTGGTCTTACTTCAGACTTGTTATTTCTGACTTCCTCTTCCTATTCCTGAAAGACATACCCTATTTTCCGGCGTATAAGATGACTTTTGAACCGAAAAAAAGCCTGTTCAGATTGGCCAGAGTCAGAGAGGCGGTCTATTAAAAGAAAGAACTGGTGTTGCCTCGGAAGTGGGGTGTAGTCTTATACAGCAAATATAGGCCTAAACATATGTTTTAACTGTAAAATTAGGGCAGTCGTCTTATACGCCGGAAAATACGGTAGTAGATCTTTTTGTACTTCTATCATCAGTATGTTCAGAAATAAGAATTCAAACCAGGTATGACTTGTGTTGGGTCCTGTGCCCAACTCTCTTAGAGTTGATTTGAAAGTCATTATAGAAGAAACAATCTGAGATTAGAGATGACTCTAAACCAGATATAATACCTAAACTATTTTTTCTCTTCAGGGTCCATTAATGCTCGAAGCAGCGCAGAAGATCGATCTCCGGAAAATACCGGTTCGTCGATAGCTGTGGATAACTTCCCAGAAGTAGACAAGGCCATGCTGATTGAGAGGATAGTAAGGCTGCAGAAAGCACATGCCCGGAAGCATGAAAAGATAGAATTTATGGAGGATCACATCAAGCAATTGGTGGAAGAAATTAGGAAAAAAACAAAGTATGTATTATTATTATGGTCACATATTTTGTGTTTAAAATACCATTATTCAGATGGTTAACTTACTGTTTTTTAATTAATCACACCAAGATCCTATCTTTTAAAAAATAATTATAGTCATTCACTTAGAAATCTTTTATTAATCACTTATTGTGTTCTAGGTTTAGGAATACAGAGATTAAGCAAAACACAGATCTTTCCTTTAAGGGGATAATGGGTTTCAATAGACATTAGTTCTTAACCCTTTCATGAAAAGTCTGCCGCCGGCACTGTTGTCCAGCACCTCCTCTTGTTGTCCCACCTCCTCTTACTTTCTGCAGCACCAACGTTGGCCTTTGAGTTCCCTGAATGTTCTCCAGCCTGTTCTTGTGTCTTTCTCTGTGTTTTTGAGGTCTTCTCATGCAGGCCATATCTTGAAAGTCTTGTGTTTCTTTGGGTAACCCAAGGAATCATAAATTATGCCATCACTAATTGTCTCGGCACCACCAGAAAGGGTTCTAAATCCCAACACAAAGGTGACATCCGCTGTGGTCTTACACAATCTGACTAGTTCTTCCCAAATTTCTGTCTAAGGTACTGTTGCTTTCCCAGCGTGAAGGATGTCAGTGACCACTTGTTTCCACTGAAGTCATCTGTTGGTTATGAACTTCCAGGCCCGGATAATTATTGTGTTATTCATGCTGGTGACCAATTGACATTAATTTTTTTTGATATATTAAAATTACTTTGGACTTAAAGTGCTCTACTTAGGTTTTTATTTTTATGACTGATTCTAAGAGCTTTATAGTGTTGTGAATTATCTTTCCCGCTGGGTAGAGCATAGTGGAGTAATTTATTGGGCAACTACTAAGTACAAGGCACGATGCCTGTTGACTTGATAGCTCATTGATTTCTTACATCTACTCGGAGAAAATGAGTTCTCTAATTTGGCAGATAAGTCACTGGGGCTCAGGTCAAATTACTAACTGTTCCAGATTCAGCACTCACCCTGTAAGTGACGGACCAAGAGTGGAGAGCCATATCCGTGCTGACACTCCAGGACGGTGCTGCGCCAGGCCCCTCACAAATACCGTGCTCATTTAAGGGCTTTGATAGTGCAGTCTTTACCCACGATTTTCTCATATATATTTTGAAATAATTTTAGACTTAGAGAAAAGTTTGCCCATAACTTTGAAAAGAAAAAGAGTAAAATACAGTTTTAAGCTTAACAGGAAGATTGAAAATATGAACTGAAATAGGAACAAAAAACTGCTCAAATACTTTCATTCAAGTAATAAGGAAAGAAATGGAAAAGCATTGTTTAAATGTCTTTAGGAAGGCAGCTCAATAAGGAAAACTCCTTTCTTTCCCAATATAGTTCTGTTATTAATATTAACCTTGTAGGTATTTATGCTAGTCATCTTGATACTTATGATTAGTTGACTCTTGCAAATTCCAGCATTTCTAATTCTGCAGGCACATAACTGACAGTGCGGTTGTATTTTGCAGAATCATTCAGAGTTACATTTTACGGGAAGAGGCAGGCACCCTTTCTTCAGAGGCATCTGATTTTAACAAAGTCCACCTTAGTAGACGGGGAGGCATCATGGCGTCTCTGTACACATCTCATCCCGCTGATAGTGGACTGACGTTGGAACTCTCTCTGGAGATCAACCGGAAATTGCAGGCTGTTTTGGAAGATACATTACTAAAAAATATTACTTTGAAGGTATTTATATTTCTCGTTCACTTACCCACCAGTAAACATGGCAAAATGGTGCCTGTTTCATAGTTTGATCCAGTACATAGTGGACTATTTCTGTAATGCAAGACAGCATTTTACCCAGAGATAAAATGAGTGCGTTGTTCTCTTTCTGAAAAGTAGAGTTTTTTTTAACATAGCAATGAAAGAAAGAGTAAAAATCAGATTAGCTGTATTTTTATTTTTCAATTATAGTTTACATTCAGTATTATTTTATATTAGTTTCAATGTACAGCATAGTGGTTAGACAGTTATATACTATATAAAGTGTCCCCCCCCCCGATATTTCCAACACCCACCTGGCACCATACATAGGTATTGCAATATTATTGACTATATTCCCTATGCTGTACTTTACATCCCCATGACTATTTTAAAACTACCAGTTTGTACTCTTAATCCCTTTCCCTTTTTGACCTAGCCCTCCTCCCCCAAACCCATCAGTCAGTCTGTTCTCTGTTTCTATGAGTCTGCTTCAATTTTATTTGTTCATTTATTTTTTTCATGAGATTCCACATATAAGTGAAATCCTATGGTATTTATCTTTCTCTGTCTGACTTATTTCACTTAGCATAATACCCTCTAGGTCAGTGGTCACCAACCTTTCGGACTTCACAGACTACCAGTGGTCCGAGGACCACCGGTTGGTGACCACTGCTCTAGCGACATGCTGTTCCTAATGGTAAGATTTCATTCTTTTTTATGGCTGAGTAATATCCCATTGCATTTATGTACCACAGTTTTTTTTTATCCACTTGTCTGTTGATGAGCCAGTTTAGCTATTGGATAGTTAGTGGATTTCAAAAATTATTTTTTAACTTTGGTAATAATTTTATGTACCTAGTACAATTTGCTATAGCTTCAGTAAAAAAAAAACAAATAAGTATGTCTTTGTAATATATAGGACTACTTTGCTGAAAATAGCTGTGTCTAGTTTATCTCACATAACCTATAAGACTAATCATCACTCTTCAAAATTTAGGCAAAGGTAGTTCAAGTGGAACTCTTTTTACTTATTATACTTAGTAGATCTGTTCTTATTTTGCTCTTTTTTCAAATGGCTAAAGGAAAACCTACAAACACTTGGAACAGAAATAGAACGTCTTATTAAACACCAGCATGAACTAGAACAGAGGACGAAGAAAACCTAACCCGGAGCTGCTGCTCAGTGAAGAACAACCACCAGCGAGGAGCAGGTCACTGCCCGTCGTTGGAACCTTCCTCTGCTGTGTCAGCCAGTAAAGAATGATTGTTTCACCTCATAGACAGTATCCTTTACCTTAGGAGTGCACTGCGGTGTGGCCTGTAAGAGTGTAGACTTGATGGAATTTGTTTTCATGTGGTGACAGCCTGCCATAGAACCAAAACAACCTAGTTTCATTTGCTAAGAATCATTGAAATGATCAGCATTACAAGGGCTGTTGAAAACCCCTTCTCCATTTTTCCCCTTTAAAACACATAATGTCAAAAACGATCCAGCTTTTTAAAAGTATGCATGAAAGGACCAGTAATATGCTATTTTCCTAACTTAAAGAAAACTAAAAACTAAAAAATTTTGTCTTGACATTCCAATATGACATTTGGTTGTGTCTTAGGGAAGGGTACCATTGATCCTTAAATCTTTTAATTTTAATGGAAGCCAATAGGAAAGCTAGCTTGTGGTAATTGGCCCATGATCAGGCATGTGCCTTATCTGGGCTAGGTACATTTTTTTCAGATTCAAATAGTTTGAATTCTTAGTTGAGGTTTTCAAATCTTCAGTTACATAAAATATGATTTAAAATAACATGCTCATTTAGTAAATTCCTGTGGACTTCAATTATTTTTTAAAATGTGAAATTGACTAGTTATTAAAACAGTGAATAGTGAATTCTTTGGAACCGAAATACTTGAGTTTTACTAATATCGAATGCAAAGATAAACGTTTAAAATATTTATGAAGATTCTGTTCCCAAGGGAATGCACCCATTCTGTACTGTTTGAGCTCCCATTCTTCACTATTGGTATACTTACATGTTATAGTGGAGTGATCCTACAATCCCCACATATTGAGGCATTTTAGTGTATTTATTTAAAACACAAAACAATTACTTCTCTGTAACCAAAGGAATTTTAGAGCCAAATTTATGTACCTATTGGATTTTTACAATATTTATTTGCAATGTGGCAACTTGAATGTTGCAAGTTGTAGTGTCAGTATTTCTACGTCATTGAATTTTTCTTGCTTCTTATAATTTCTCATCTGTTATAATTTCTGTTTGTGGTTTATATTTCTGTCTTGCAGAAAGCCTCATTCTTGTTTTGGATTTTTGCATTCTTTTTTCTCCCCTTAAGTAAGGTTTGGGATGATAGATTAAAAGCCTTTCAACAATTGTATTGCTCTCAAAGTTGGACTCGTGGTGGCAATATGCCTTTCATGGGTTTTAATATTTTTTTCAGTCATCATTGTTTAAAAAGATAATTTACTGAAGATTAGATGATTCATTATATTATTTTTTTGGTATATTGAGATATATATTGTCATCCCAAAGCAAAATGTTTTTACTTCAAAATGGAAATGCAAGTTTTAAAACATTTTATTTTTAAAATAGCTGTTAAAAAGTATTAGTTTTACAATAATGTGTCTTGTTCTTTTTACCAATAGTAATTTATCAGAAAAAGAGGGTAAGTGCAATCAAATTGGAATTATTTTCCCATTTGCTTTTAGACATATAGTTGATACCCCCAAAGACTACTTAGAGTAGCGAAGGTAACTAAATTTTTACGGCTTTTTATGTGATATGAGTTCAAACACTACAATATTTATTTTCTTCTAAGACACAAAATGTATTAATGGAGACCAAATAGTGATCCTATGTCTGTACACCCTTAAAAAATAAAAAAAATATAAAAATATATATATATACACATTTATTACATACAAAATTGAAACACTCCAATATTGACATTTGTGTCACCATTCATTTGGAGAAGTTTAAATTTGAAACAATAATAGAAGAAAAACTATTGTAAACCATATTTCGACTTATTGTTTCTTTCCCCCCTAAAATATAAGAAACTATGGAAAACTTTTGAAGAAAATACTTTCCTTTTGTTCTTTAGTTTTTACTGCATCCTTTTCATATGGGTCAGAACTGAGCAAAATGTACAAAACTGTGCATATGTCAGATCGCGATCTCTACACTGATTCACATGTAGCTTCTAACTTAGAGGGCCTTCTCCCCTTACTGTGTTGAATATATGGAGAGAAGAATAGGGTACCCAGACAAGGAAAATGGTCTGGATAAACCTCAGATCTGGGGGGGGCATTTTTTTTTTTTTGTATGTTCATTATGAATTGTACACATCCAAGGCAGGAAATGATTTTGTGTCTGTGTGTGTGTATGTATACACTCTACCAGTTTTCAATTTTAAAGTGAATGTTTACTGTGACTCCCTTTTTCCCCCTACCCCTCCAAACTTCAGTGCGTTAAGTTTCAAGGATTGCAAATAGTGTGTTTGAGCAGCATAACGAGCTTGAACTTTTTTGTTTCCTTTTTAACTTTCTTCACCACCATTTAAATAGACTTCCCTTGAAATTAAATTTTACCAAGTTACCATGTTATTTATTCATTTAATAAACGTGTTTATTGAAAACCTGTTGCCTGGCGCCATACTAGGTACCGTGATGATATTGGTGAACAGGCCAGAGAAAGTAGAACACATCCGGGAGGAAACAGGCAGCTCTGAGCCTCTGCCACTCACACCAGCCCCGTGGGAAGAGGGTCAGTCCACCTGTGTAAGTAGGTGACCCAGAAATCTCACTCTGACACTCATCTTTGGGAAATGAATCTTACTGAGGTACGCGACAGCAGGATGCTGTTTCTTTGGTAGTTATATACATTTCCACACTTTTGTCACAGTTTGATGATTAATTATTCCATAAGAAAAAGGAAAAAAAAAATCCAAAGATCATAAAGTGGCATTCGATTTTTGCCATTTTAGTAAATTAGTAATGCCTACTTGATGCTTATAAAGATTATCTAATCATGCAGTCATGTGTGTTTCCAAACTTTGTTTTGCACTGTATTATTTTTCTAAAGATTTTTACATGTAAATTTAGACTAATATTTACCAGTAGGGGAAAATAAAATTAGAAACCATTAAATGTTGTGAATGTTATATATACTACCATGGTGAAAATATTTTTATCAATATGTTGTTATTCAGTGTGGTTAATTTGCCTTATGAATGTTGACTCCAGTAGCTTATTTTTCAATAACTTTTTTTTTAAACAAAACAATTCTTTTTTTGACATTAAGATTATTAATTTTTAACATCAGTTTGTGGAACTGGGAACTTAAAACCTTTTCAAGGCTGAAGAAGAGAAAATAATTGAAAAAATGTATCCAAACATCAAGAATTTTCAGGACAATAAATGAAAAATATAATTGTATATTGAAATTGTATTTTTCTTCTGGAATGAAATCTTTTTTAAAAAAAATGCAATATGGCTGTCCATTTAGACTACGATGATGAAACTTGCTTATCTTCCAAAGTTCATATATATATATATATATAGATAGATAGATAGATATAGATGTATATATGTGTGTGTATTGTACAGATAATCTCTAATTTGATTACACTGTTCATTTTGTAAATATGTCTGTATAAAATTAAGCTTTTCAAGAGAATTTATGTATATATTGTACTTATTAAATAGGTATTGCCTGTTTACAAAGTTGTATTGTAATGTCATCTTATTATTTGTTGACATACACCATTTACTATAAAAAGACTGATTCTGCAGACCTGTGGCAAGGCTAATTCAAATTGCTTGAATTTATTTTTTAAACCAGACTAAAAATGTTTGCTCCCCATGTTTGTTTTCAGTCTATCAATTATTAGAAATCATTTGATTAAATTGAATGCTAGATTATATTTTAAATTTTTGTTTAAATTACTAATGGCAACGTTTGGCCTTTTACAAGAGGCAAATTTTCACATGCTTATTTTATCCACTGGCTCTGGGGCCTCCCGGGAGGTGTGCCAAGTTCAGCCACCTCTGTGCCCTGCCTGGGCCACCCAGCATGAGCTACAAAGTGATCTGCCCCTGCTCCTACTTTGTGCTGGGCTTGGAGGTGCCCAGCAGAGGCCAAGCTGTGAACCAAGGCTGGCTGCTGCTGGTGGTGGGCCTAGGGTCACTCAGCAAGAGGCATGGGGCATACTGAGGCCAGGTGCTGTTTGTTGGAGAGATTTTAGGAAAGTCTGAAGTACGAGCCAAGACAGACCGTTTGTATGGAAAAGCCTGGAAATAGCTTGGGTGAGCCTGCAAGTTGGGTGGGGCGGGGTCTCGGAATACTAGGGCGAGGTTGATGGCGACTAAATTTATGGCACCTGCCTCTATGCGTGCCTGGGGGAGGTGTCCCAGAAAAGGAACGCTAGCCTCCGCAGCATTTCTGGGAGAAATCTGTCCCTCTAGCTCTCATCCTGGTGCCAGACACTTCCTCCCCTGTATCCCTGGTGTCTTTCCAGCTGCTGCCTCAACGCTGGAGCTCAGAGCCAGAAAGTCCAAGTAAGTCTGTGTGTTGGCCCTGGGACTCCAGCAGCCCTCCCTTCCACTCAGCCACCATCTCCGCTGGAACTCTGGGTGGAGGGACCTTGTTCTTGGGGGAGGGGACCACCTCTGCAACAGAGATAGCCCAATTTTTATCCGTCATTCGTGGGTGTGGGAGCAGCCCATTCCATGTCTTCGTCTCCTACAGCCTGGATGTGGCTTCTTTATATCCTTAGTTGTAGGACGTGGCTCAGTTAGATTCCAGGTGTTCTGAATGATTACTGCTCAGTAGCTTAGTTGTAATTTTTTATGTGAGCAGTTCCAGACTATCGCATTTACCTACAGTGTAAATACGAATCAGGCTTCAGGTCAAGACGATGGTGTAGGAAACATGACATGTTCCTTTGTCGGCATTTTGGCTGCTCCCCTGTGTTTGTTGCTGTGTACTGGGTTAGAGCTGCTATATCTCCTTGAGCTGGTAGAGGGGCCTTGGTTTTAGAGAGGAAGAGATAGAAACATCGACGAAAAGAGAGAATCATTGGTTGGCTGCCTCCTGTACACGAGCTGATTTTTTATTTTTTATTTTATTTTTTTAAAGAAAGAAACATAATG